TTAAACGGCCTATTTCATATTCTTATAAGGTACCTTAAAATTTTCAAATTCGATTTTCTCGCGAATGCTTGAGTAGTGCATCTTATTACTTTACCCTGCAATACTTTACGTAGTCATCTATCGATCCTATAAATTTCGTCCGAATCGATTGGTACAACGTCGTAGTCTCTCCTTGTAAGTGAACGATGTCTAAGTAAATGGTGTTTAAATAAACGGTGCCCAGTTGCACGGTGTCTAATTGAACGTTGTCTAAGTGGACTGTGTCTAAAATTGTGTGTCTATTTGCAACGTGTGTAATTGCAACTTGTCCAATTGAACGTCCAAGTGCATTGCCACACACACACACACACAAAGAAAGAAAAAGAGAAGAACTGTAAATCCAAACATGCACCTCCACGCGATGCACCTTGAGTAATGGTAATGCCGATAATTCTTTTAACTTTCAAGCCCTATAACTTAAAAAGTACTTAATAAAAAAATATTTTATTATCGGAAAGCTCTTGAAATAAGATGTACATGCAATAAAAAAAGGTCCCATTTATAAAATTCAACTTGACCTTTATATGACCTTGCAGACTCCACCTAAGGTCTATCTAAGGTCCACCTCTTATCACCAATAGGTACATTTTTTTAAGTCCTACAATTTTGCTTCTCACATATTTTTTGCTAGAGTTGATCGTCTTCGAGATTTTTTAGCGTTTCCGAATTTTTTAAAGACCCGGTATATTGAATGTGTTTTGTTTTAGGATGTCTCTATTGCTACGTGAACTGGTAGCTTCACTCTTTAGTTTAATATATGTAAACAGTGTTTTACGATTCTGCTTTGTGGCTATACTGGTGATTTCAGTAAGTAACAACCTTTTCTTAACATTTGTTATAGAAATATTAGTTTTTTAAATAAAGGTGATTGAGACATGTTCTCAGGTTCAAAGTAAGATTAAAATTAAAAACCAAGATCAAGTTGGGCAGTTTGAACCAGTTGCAAGATGTTGTGCAGTTATAAATAAAGTTAACAACGTAGTGTTTTTTATCCAAACGTTTCGGCTTTATTCAACAGCCATCTTCAGTGGATTAAACTATAAACAATCCTCTCCAAAAGAGCGTTGTCGACCTTGTCGTGTTTGTGTCAAAAATTAAAAGTTGTTGTTAGAAAGAAGAGTGTTGTCTCGACTTTCTTTACTCCACTGAAGATGGCTGTTGAATAAAGCCGAAACGTTTGAATAAAAAACACTACGTTGTTAACTTTATTTATAACTGCACAACACCTTGCAACTGGTTCAAACTGCCCTACTTGATCTTGGTTTTTAATTTTAATTATTTTTTTATTTTATTAATAAAACAATAAATGTACAATACAATTGCAATTTATGACAAATTATTAGTAACTATATTATAGAGAGCGTTTTATTTGACTACGTCCCGATTGACTACAAAAATGTATTGATAAGCATGTATCATAACAATTAATAATATTATAATATAGATTGAGTTAGAATAGGTTTTTTAGGAAGGAAGAGTTATTTCTCTGCTCATATATGTATAATAGTGTATGCTACAAACAAAATAATTACTTCTCGCTATTATACATTCTCGAGTAAAAACGTGTACAACAAATAGTAACATTTGTGCATTTATCTCAATATGTGCAATAATGTGCTTCTGTGCAATAAAGGTATCTTGTAACAAATAATAAGTGCAATATTGTTTTGTGCACCATGTAGTTAAGGTAGAGTTCTCGTGCAAACTCAATTTTCTATGTACTTTGATAACAGTTTAATAGAATGTTAAAAATGATAATTTACATTTACTTTCTCAATTCCAAAGAATTTCATCGATTAAAGCGACTAGTAAAACGAGATATTTACGATCAAAATAGGCGTTATTAACAGATGTTCTCTACCAAATACATCCAAAACGGCTGTATAAATTTTTACAAAAAAATAATTATATTTTAGAAAGACACTTTGGAAATATTTGGAAACAAAAAATATATTTTGTTATCGTTTTATTCAATAGTTATATATTTTGAAACTTGTGCAGTAAAACCGTAGTAAAGTAAAGTGATAAAAATCTGGCAACGCACAATTCTTGTTTGTAGCATGTATCTTGCCAGTTGCTACTTTTGTAATAATATAACATTTGTCAAAAACCATATATAATATTGAATTGAGTCTTAGATGTTTCTCATTTATAATTTTTGTAAGAAAGCAATTTTTTTAAAGCACTTTAGATTTTTTCCATTTATGTAACAATACGTCGCATAATACGTCGTTTAATAGGTTATTTGAGTAACAAATTTTCCTTTATATTGCAACTGTTTTGGAGGAAAAGGCATTTTTCATTGTATTTTTTAATAATAATTATTAAATATCAAAATTTAATAGATCAACTAGTTATAAACCTAACTTTATAAGCTATAAGGTATGCCTATAAGTTGTCACAACTGAGTACTTGCAATGGTGCTACGATTACCATTTTGACTTGTTTAAATGTGTGTACGAATCTGTATACATAGTATATTAGTGTGTAAGTACAATCTTTGACAAAAATTACATGCTGTGATCTTAAGTTATCTTAAACTTTTTTTATAGTAACAGTAGATTTTATTTTTGAATAGGAGTGTCGCACGGAAACTACCTTAAGTACAAGATCTGTGCAATCGAGACGTGGTCAATCAAGACTGTGGTCACTAGACTCCCACTCATAGTATATCGATGTATCTTTATAAAACTTCAGATACCATCAACGGATTTATATGAGGGGTCCTTCATTATCATATACGCATCAGCAGCAATAGTACAACTTTATTTAATCTGTTCTTGCGTACAACAGTTAGTAAATGCGGTAATGGTTTTTCATTCTTACGTAATTATTTCATATTACAAAAATTTGTCTTTCTTAAATATTTCAAATAATTAATTGTGTAAAAGTTCTAAACTCACTATATTTGATATAATATTTAAAATATTTTATATACAGTAGTGTGCGCATATTTTGTCATCAAATTGTCTTCTCATCATGGTTTTTTCATTTCAATTTAGTTTATGCTTTCTTTTGTATGTTCAATTAGAGTGTTGAAATAACGGATCAAGCATTTCATGAAGAATGGTATCGATTCGGAACACGCATAAAACGTACATTTCTATCTTTAATAATGGCTAATAATTTAGGACTTAACCTTTCTACTTTTGAAAAATATAATTTATCTTTATCGTCGTTTATGACGGTAAGTTTTTATAATATTTTATTTGCTAAAGCTGGTTAAGGCTTTTACTTTGGACCATTATTATCAGAGCTCGCTTAAAGTCATTTCTCTACTCTTTCGATTGGTTTTCGTTGGCAGGGCTCCGATTGCTAAGATTTTATTTGTCCAAATCTATTGTTACACAGATCCCATTTGCCCAGATCTTGTTTATACAGAAAATTTTAGCGCAGATCTCAATTGTCCAAAGTGATCATTGCACAGATCTCGTACCTCTTATACGCCAAATTTAGATATATTGAGAAGATAAGGATTTTCAGCGCACGACTGAACCGATCAATTTCGTTTTAGTTTTCATCAACTTATTTAGAATAATTTTAAAAAATGTATTGTTACGATTTTTTCTTTGTGCTTCTGATTTGGAGGAATGCGACAATAAAGTTAAAAAGTGAGAAAATTTTACGATTCAGAATTTACAAAAAAAGATCGCGAACCCGGACTCTTGGATTTCAATACAGTTTTGTGAGTATGTAGAGGACCTAAATATATGACTTTAACGGTATGCACAATTCGTGCCCGTTTTCACTTTAAAGGTATGATTTTTTACTTCAAAGGTAAAAGAGCGCTTACACTTTTTTGCGTATATCTCGCGTGTGTAAAGTTGGCGTATCATTTAGTAGAAAGTTACAATAACATTAAAAGTTCTGGCTTTATGTTCTATAGTTTTTAATAGTTTAAACAAATAGTTCTGTTTGATAAAGCAAAAAAATCGCTTTGGACAAAGTGAGACGTATAGTGAACTTGGCGTCTCACTTTGTCCGCGGCAAGTTTTACATTCAATTTTTACTAAATTTCGCTAGTTTTATAGTTTTATACGAGTTTTAGAAAGAGTTCTGCATTTTTAAACCAATATCGACAGATAAAGTCTGATTACAACTTTTTTACATATGTATTCATAAATACAAGTAAGATGCTGTTTGCTTTCGATAATAATAATCCTAATGCAGTACTTCTCTTATTTTGAACTTTTGTAACTATTTTTACACAAATAAAAAATACATACAATATATATATCAAAACTTATTAAACCACTCAAACTTGCCCGACAAACGCAAAATTAAAAAATATGAGACACTACACGTTTTCTAACACATCTGACAAATCGGGTGAGTCTCAGATGCGCAGAAACAAACAGACACGGTAAGGTGTATCAATCACACACAGACTCAATATGACACAATACGAAACGGACACACACGACGGACTCAGTCGGACACAGTTTCAATCGGACACGAGGATAAACGGACACACGATAGTCTGAATTGGACACAGTCTTAATCGGACACAGACGCAATCGGACACAGTCTCAATCAATACTACGGACGTTTATTTGACCACTGGAAATCGTTCGACAATAAGGTATCTACATAAAATCTGTGAGACGCTCCACGTTTTCCAAAAGTTCTGACAAATCTATTGCAATTCTAGCATAGTTCTGACTCTATTATATCAATTTGTTAAGAGTTCTGTCGATTGTTACTACAAACGTTTGTTTGAACAATTGAAATCGTCTGATAATAAAGTATCTAGAGTAAAAGACCCAATTCCTATCACCCTAAGTTATTTTATTTAAAATATTAAATAAATCCTAAAAAGTTCTGCATAAAAAATCTAACATAGAATTTTAAGTGCAATTAATATAACAAAAAATACAGCACTCAACATTCTTGTCTCAATTCTTTCATTTTAAGGGGTGACAGTAATAGCTCTCGCATTGTTCTTTCTTAATTATTAAACTTATAAATAAAAATAGAGATTTTGAGAGGCGGTATTATTTTGTTTCTTATATTAGAGACATTGAATAATACCAGATATGAAGAAAAACACATGTTTTTGATAAATAAATAGTAAAAATTTGCTAACACTAGAGTTTATTATTCAGGTGACAGTAATTGGTTCTTTTATCTTACGTTAATAATGTATACGCTGCACGTTTTCTAAGAGTTCTGACAAATCTGTTGTAGTTCTGGCATAGTTTTGACTTTATTGGATCACTTCCATGATGAACTGTAACTTTTTGTGATAACTATTGAATTTTTTTAGTAAATAATTTAAGTCTTCGATTGAAGTAATCATTACTGTGTCGTCATATCTATAATAAAACCTGGGTTTTAAATGTAATTTTTTAAAAATTTGTTTTTCTGTCTTCATCAAATCTGAAATGATGGGTGATGAAATGACAGAGAACCCCATTGGTAAACCAAATGTTTGTTTGTATATATTGTCATTAAATACGAAATAGGTCTATGTTAGAGTAAATAAAATTGCTTTTAGAAATTTACTTAATGGTATCTTCGTTTTTTCTCTAATATTCTATTTAATTTTTATGCTGTTAATGGCTAAATCTATTAGTACATTTGTGAATAGGGATATTACATCTATTGATAACATAAAATGGTGGTGTAATTTGATTTTTTGTATTTTTTTAACAACCTCAAAACTATTAAGTATGCTATTATTTGCATTTGGGATATTTGAGAAAATTATTGTATTAAAATAATCGGATAATTTATATAAAGAGCTATTTAAAGACAAGACATTCTAAATAGCGTTCCTTTTTTATGTACCTTAAGAACACCATAAGCACGCGGTATTAAGCTATTGCTCGACTTTAAAAATTTAAATGTTAAATCTGTGATGTATTCTTTTTATCCCGCCAGGTTTTTAGTATTTTATTGAGTTTTTCTTCCATTTTTTTACGGGGTTTTTGTTAAAAACTTTAGAATAACTTGACTCGTCACTTAACAGCTCCTCAATTTTGTTAATATATTCCAAGTTGTCTACAGCAACCGTCATGTTATCTTTGTCAGTACGCGTAAAAACAATTTTAGGATAGTTTTTTAATTGAATACTTATTTTGTTTTGTTTGTTATGCTCTTTTTTAATTCATTATTTTTGGGGGTATTAGCCAAGAAATTATTTACTATATTTATATTATTATTTAATATACTTATAAACCTAGAACTAATGTTATCTGCGATCTTTTTATTCTCTTTATTGATACTGTTTTCTATATCCTTAATGCACTCAAGCAAAAAACCTTTTTTATTTTGTGGGAGACTGAAATTGCTTCATAATTGTAAAATGCTATTAAGTGCGCAACTAAGTTCCCGCTGTTTGTCAATAGATGGCTCCGGCAGTAAGTGCTGGTCGATTTTGACATATCCAAAACGTCACAAGCCAAGCTTAGACATATGGTAAACAAACCGCTTTGACACGTTAGTGATTTTGTTTTTGTCATATATTTTTGGTTGTGTGAAAATGTCTGATTTTGTACCAACTAATCGTCATTTGCGGGAAGTGTTAATTTTCTTATTTCATTTGAAGAAAACGGCGGCTGAAGCGCATCGAGAGCTCCAAAAAATTTACGGAGATGCTGCTCTAAGTGAAACAACTTGCCGTGATTGGTTCCGTTGCTTCAAAGACGGTGATTTCGATGTTGACGACCGTCCGCGTGAAGGAAGGCCAAAAACCTTTGAAGACGCTGAATTGGAGGCATTGCTCGATGAAGATCCATGCCAAACGCAAGAACAGCTTGCTTCAGCATTAGAAGTTACCCGCGAAGCCATTTTCAAGCGATTGCATGCGTTGGGAATGATTCAAAAGCAAGGAACTTGGGTTCCTTCTGATTTGAAGCCAAGGGACGTTGAGCGTCGTTTTTTCTCCTGTGAACAACTGCTCCAGCGGCAAAAAAGGAAGGGTTTTCTTCATCGCATCGTGACGGGTAATGAAAAATGGATTCATTACAGCAACCCAAAGAAAAGAAAGTCATGGGGACTGCCCGGTCATGCTTCTACGTCGTCGGTTCGGCCGAATATTCACGCTGCAAAGATTATGCTGTGTATTTGGTAGGACCAGGTCGGTGTTATTTATTATGAGCTGTTAAACCGAACAAAGCCATCACTGGGGAACGATATCGAATTCAATTAATGCGACTGAGCCGAGCACTGCGCAAAAAAACGGCCACAATACGAGCAAAGGCACGAAAAAGTGATTCTACTGCATGACAACGCTCGGCCTCATGTTGCCAAATCCGTTAAAATCTACGTGGAAACGCTCAAATGGGAAGTCCTACCCCACCCGCAATATTCCCCAGATATTGCGCCGTCCGATTAGTACTTGTTCCGTTCGATGGCACATGGTCTGGCTTATCAGCAGTTCCGCTCATATAAAGACATAAAAAAATGGCTTGATTCGTGGATAGCCTCAAAAAACGAACATTTTTACCGTAACGATATTCGAGCTTTGCCAGAAAGATGGGAAAAAGTTGTAGCTACCGATGGGCAATACTTTGAATGATTCATTTGTAACCATTTTTTCATAATAAAGTTGTATTTAAAAAAAAAAACAGCAAGAACTTAGTTGCGCACCTAATAATTACATTATATGGTATTGTTTGTCTAAATGACAAACCAATTTTTTTTCAATATTGAAAAATGTTGTGGACGAAATTATGCCTGTGAAATCTTTAGGATTTACGTTGACTTTGATTTGTTCTTTGTTATGTATGTTTTGTTTTTCAAAGGAGTATATGAACCGTTGTTGAGACTATTGTGTTTATCACTGTTTACATATTTAAGTTGTATGTTTGATTTTCTTTAAACATACAGTTCACACATTTCTTCTTTGTCGCTGTGCAATCAATCAAACTGATGATTTTCTGCACATTTGTGATATGTCTCATCTCTCGTACAATTCTTTGCAATATGGTAGTACCCCAACATTTGAAACATCTTTTAACATTAAAATGATTAAATACAGAACATTTCCTTTTTCCTATATTTAGCTTTGGTTTTTTCAAAATAATCTCGTGCGTTTCGTCATCTGTTTCTAATATTAATGATCCTTCTTTACTTTCTCTTTTTTTTTTGACTGACTATTTCTCTTTTCTTTAACTATTTTCTTCACTCTTTGCATATTTACTGCATTCATTTTGTTCTGCTTCTTTATTGTAGATATAAGTTTATTATCAGCTAAATTCATCTCTTCTATTACTATATTAATAATTTTTAATTTCGGTTTCGACTGTGATGATTCCATTACTATATAATTGCCTTCTAGTTTAGCTTGAATTGTCTTCTGTAAGTTGGTTACTT